ATTAATGATTTGGATGAGGCAACAAAATGTAACATCTCCAAGTTTGCAGATGATACCAAGTTGGGTGGGAGGGTGAGCTGTGATGAGGATGTAGAGATCCTCAGCATGATCTGGACAGGTTGGGTGAGTGGGCAAATCAATGGTAGATAAATTTAGATAAATATGAGGTTATTCACTTTGGAAGCAAAAACAAGAAGGCAGATTACTACGTGAATGGCTGTAAATTGGGAGAGGGGAGTGTGCAGTGGGACCTGGGTGTCCTTGTGCACCAGTCTCTGAAGGTAAGCATGCAGGTGCAGCAGGCGGTAAAGAAGGTAAATGGTATGTTGGCCTTCATTGCGAGAGGGTTCGAGTAAAGGAGTAGGGATGTGTTGTTGCAGTTGTACAGGGCCTTGGTGAGACCACACCTAGAATATTGTGTATAGCTTTGGTCTCCTTTTCCCAGGAAGGAAGCTCCTGCTCTCGAGGGAGTGCAGTGAAGGTTTACCAGGCTGATTCTGGGGATGGCAGGATTGACGTACAAGGAGAGATTGATTAGATTGGGATTGTTTTTGCTGGAGTTCGGACGAATGAGCGGGAATCTCATAGAGACTTATAAAATTCTAACAGGGCTGGACAGGGTAGATGTAGGAAGGATGTTCCCGATGGTGGGTGTGTCCAGAACCAGGGGTCACAGTAAGAGGATTCGGGGTAGGCCATTTAGGACGGAGATGAGGAGACATTTCTTCACCCAAAGAGCGGTGAGCCTGTGGAATTCATTACCACAGGAAGTAGTTGATGCCTAAACATTGAATGTATTCAAGAGGCAGCCAGATATAGCGCTTGGGACGAATGGGATCAAAGGTTATGAGGAGAAAGCGGGATTAGGTTATTGAGTTGGACCACCAGCCATAATCATGAAGAATGGCGGAGCAGGTTCAAACAGCTGAATGGCCTCCTGTTTCTATGTTATTTGCACCCGTTTAGCCCTGATAGCCTCCCAGTTACTGGTCAGGCTCCAGTCCATTGAAAACCGCCTTGAAGAAACTCCTGAAGCATTCTCCAGTCCTCCCTGGGGAACGCACACCCGTTTGGCCAGGGACCCTTGTGGGATCCATAAATGCTCCCCACCTCCCCCATCCTAAATGGGCAGCTGCTGCTTTTTGAGACTCCGTCCCCACTCGGTCTCTTCCCACCACAACACCTTCCACCCTTCCCCCCCCCTCCCCCCCCCTCCCCCCTTCCCCCCCCCCCCCCCTTCCCCACCCCAGTACATCCCACCCTTCTGTTACCAGCTGATGACTTTTGGATCTTCTGTCTCTCTCACACCCAGCTCTGGGGAAACGCAGGCGAATGTCTGAGGATGGGGCTGAGCCTAAATCCAAACGGTCAAAGCGAGAGCTCTCAGACCAGGAGGTGAGTCTGTTGTGTGTTTGATCGCCCGAAATGGACAGGGTCAGCCATAGAATCAAATCAAGACCTGCTCCGTACCAGTG